TTTCGAATTTATTTCCATTACTAGCATCATCACCAACTTTCTTCGCCGACAATGAAACAAAATGTTCGCCTATTAACCCTGGACCAAAACCCTTCTCTGAGGTGGAAGTAAGGAACGTAGCGAACTTCCTGCTAGAGCACCCGTATATCGATGCTTACGTTTCTATGCATAGTTATGGTCAAATATTTTTATTCCCGTGGTGTTGGACATTAGACAAACCAGAACACTATGACGAACTTGTAAGTAATCAGAATGTTAGATACGGGGCGCCAAACGATATACATTACCTGCTCTGTCATACAAAACGATGTTTGCTAGGGACGACATGTTTTGTAATATAGACAAAAGTTATTCTGTCTTTACAAAACATGATTTGTCCCTTACAAACATGGTTTTGTATGACAGCACAGGTAATGTGTCGTGTGGTGTCTCATAGTCAAAATCTGGATCTGAATCTGGATTTGTATACGCCGAAAAAAGCAGACAAACAAACAAACAAAAAACGGATACCCGAATCACATCAGAGTTTTGTTGACATGACTGAGTCTAGTCCTGTTTAACAGTTTGCAAGCCTACCGGAAGTGACGTTTAATTTCAGTTTGGTGTCCGGTTTGCGATTTTTTTTTTCCGTACGAAATATTTGCATGAAACTCCACTCGGGCCGTCTCGGATTGATTCGACTCGAGTTTGATATACGAACAAGAGCAGGCACTTCGCAATGTCGTGACGCTCGAGTATTCTATTACATTTACTGTACTGTTCTTTGTTTACCTACGGCAGGCCTATAAAATCTTACCGATTTATGGGATGTAGGCTACGTCTGTAACTAACTGTGAGCTTTTTGTATGTTTGTTATCAAATGTACTACAACAACAACAGCTAGTACCCCCTTCTATAGTAGTACCAGTGGTAAATAGGTACATCTATCTATCTAAGGCTAGAGCAAAAGAGGCTAAAATAATGGGCCTAGTGGAACGGCCTAGTTCCAAGCTGAGTTAGGTCCTACCTGCTCGAATTCGTCATGACATAGGTTAAACAATTATCCAAAACCGCGGCCAACTAAAAAATAAAATTTTTCACAGTATGTAACTCAAATTCAAATAGGGCCTAACACTTTTTATTATTCGTGCCGCGAAATCAAATAATACATATGTCGTTTTAAACGACTCATTATATTAGAATGGCAATGTGTTTTTTTCAAAATCAGACAGCGAGCAGCAATCCTGTATCTCAGAAGTTTTGTAGACGTTTATCTTTGGTCGATGACCTTTTGACCTCCAGAATTGCGATTTTCGAGTCGAGTCAGTCGAGACAACCCGAGTGGAGTTTCATGCAAATGTTTCGTACGGAAAAAAAAAATCGCGTCCGGTTTAATTCCATCTGCTGCTCTCCTTGTGCTTTTTGCCAGGGGTGGCGCCAGGATTTGCTCAACGGCAGGGGCGGATCCAGAGATGTCCAAAAGGGGGGGGGCGGGGCGAAATTTGGGCCGATCGAATCAACAATGTGCTAGGGGGCCCGGGGGCATGCCCCCGCGAAATTGTTGTGTTCTACATATGGAAACGTTTTTGCCACTTTTTATCATTTGCTAGTCCAGCTATCACGAAAGCAGCGAACTGAGGTCAAATGAACCCCGCTGTACAAGTAATTCATTTGGATCGACCAATTAAAAACATTGGGTTTGTTTCATTTTCATGATGGGGTTAAAATACAACAAAACAAAACAGAATTCAAATTCCACATTCAATATTATTTTGTTTAAACTTGTACTTGAACACATATTTAACAGTACACATAGTACAATGTAAAGTAAACAAATGTTGAGATCTTTCTTCCCCTAGTCTACGCTTTCGTGTTGGCGGGATTGCCTTAGCCCTACCCTACACCCCTACTAAAAATTTCAAACGGTCCAGACTATAAATTCAAGATTCAAGATTCTTTTATTGTCTGAAATAAAACTCAGAAATTGCAATCACTGGCAAGGTAACAAATGTAAATATCATATAATAAATAAAGAAACAAAAATATAGAAAAACTAATTAGCACCAAACACTATCTAGTCAAGATGAACATGCAAAGAAAATTACATACAATTACACGTTAAAACTTAAACTGAAACTTAAACACATCAAACTTCTACTGTACTACTAATTAAAACTACAAATTATCTATTAATATTGTTATTATAAAGGTGAATGGAGTTAGGAACAAAGGAGTTTCTATAACGGCAAACGTGTGGTGGGTGGTACATTTATTTTTAAATTGCATTTTTTGGCATAAATATAGCCTAATTGCTGCAAATATCTTGTCTTGGGACATTTGTTATTTAATAAAGGTAATAAAAGCACACAAAAATCCAACTGATAACTAAATTAGGCCAAATTATATGAAGAAAGAAGTCAAACACGGCGAACACAATTAAGTAAACAGAAGTATGACGTCATTCCAGTGAATCGGACTTTCACGCTTGAGAAATTTTTTGACCCCACGAGACTCAGACAATCGTGGAATGGATTTTATATTTTCTTATTTTCCGATAAAACTACCCAACCAATCATACTAAGTTTTACATCAATTTCAAGCTTATTCCCTCCACGAATCTACTTGGGCCAATTCGAACAAAGAAATAGTATGTGAGTGAGGGAGTAAGAAACGAGCTCGGAACAGCCAAAAACCTGAAATTTCTTGAAATTCCCTATCTAAATCGGCGTGAGGAGCTGTTATAAATTGGCGTATTCCGACAAAACTGTAGGGATTTTTTTTCCATTTTTTCTTCACGAATTGGTAGATTAATATTTTTTACAACATAATCCACTTGGGCCATTACAATAAAATCATAGATTTTGTACCAAAAATGTACTTTTGTGAAAAAATCAAGTTTTCTCCAATGGTTAAGGCGACCTTGGAGAGCAAATGATACAACGTTTCCATATGATGCCCGAAAATAACATTTGAGGTGTTCTGGGCTATCATTTTTTTCTTTTTCTTCCTTTTTTCCTTCCTTTTTTCTTTTATTTACCTCCTAAAAAAAAGGGGGGGGGGCCGGGCCGCCCCCCCCCTAAATCCGCCCCTGAACGGGGAGGCCGAGATCCCCGACGAGGGGCCGATGTCCTCGACGAGGATAAAGTGGGCGCGGTCGGGCGTCGTTCTCAAAATGTTCCGAAAGTGGTCCAGGAGCGAATCCTCGAAATATATGACAAATTAGAGGTTTCACATGCTTATTTAATCGGTTTTATAGATAAAGTCTACTAATATGACAATGGACGACAAAAGTTGGGTGCTTTCGATTTATTCGAAGACGCGACGCTAGATCGGAATCACTTATGCGTGACAGTCCTACCGGCGCCCTACGTTCTCTGCATACGTAGATTTGGCCAAATTGCATCCTTAATCCACGCGACGAGGAGAAGTTAACGTTCTGGCATGCGCAGATGACTTTTAGTGACGTTATTACGTTCTACGTCCTACCACCGTTGAACAAATAAATGGAAAGCTCCCTGTGTCTGAATTATAGGAGGCAGTGTGCCAAGAACGCAGATAATTGTCACGGATGAGCGAATCCGTCACGTCACGTCGTCCCGCGAACCGAAACCTCCCTAGCGCATGTATATGATGGAGGTTACGTTCCTATGCTGGAGAAGACTCTGGGGTGAAATGTGGCCTTTCACTTTATCTATTTTAGTTTAGTAGTATTGATTCAATCAGATTTAATAAATTTATGTGTTTTTTTCTCAGTCCAAATTGGCAGAAAAGGCGAGCAATGCTATAAGAAACGTCTACGGAACCAATTATACATACGGGTCTGTGTCGGAAACGATAGGTAAGTATGCAGAAGCTAGTGCTCGTTAATTTCCATCATGCCATGAAGTTACCAACATCGTCAACCGTATACGAAATAATGAGGCGCGTCGTTTAAAACAATCAGTACGGTACCGTACTTATTCAAGAGGAGATCTTAGGCCTATTTGAGATTACAAATTGAATTGTTAAAATTATGGACTTGTTTGTACCCGGAGTTTTACTCCATAGTGGTACATAGATCTCTGGCTCTTCTCGAAAATCTAACCTCGAGCATAAAAGAACATAATGGAATGCCCATAAACGGCTTGTGTATATTTTTATATTATCGTACTTCCGATTAACGCCGCGACATTTATTCAAAAAGTTAGCCTGTATCTTTAATAAAGTGTCAATGTCACAGAGGTTTTGGCCACCAATAGGTTTTGTTGACTGTTTTATTGTTATTGTGAAGACGACTGCTTACGATGATAAACTCGATTAATGATTTTGGTTTTGAAATATGTGCATAAACATATCATACAGAAAAATACTGTATGTAATTGGCACTACTATTTAGTCAAAACGGCGACATTATCATCGACATTAATAAAACTGGAAAAGTGTGCCGGTGGTATACCGTACTTGGTATACTGTACTTGATGGTTACGCGGAAACGCGATGTTGCTCTGTATGCAATATCACCAAGTAGGCCTATGCCTGTACTTTCTCGGTTGAGTTTCAATCGCATAACTGTACACATACAGTACGGTAGTTTACATCAGATTCTTATTTTTTTCTTTCCTTGGTCGGTTACTTGCGTCAAACTAATTGATGTTATACATATATAAATAGGCTATAATAAGTTTGGCAATATAACTGGGCCGGCCTATTTTACCGGTACTGCTTGATTTCTATACCAACACTACGCGGGGAACTCGCTGTCGTCTGCTTGTCTAATTGGAAATTCTCGCCACATTGAAGCCATTTCAGAATCCTAAACAGTGATTGGTTAATTCTAGAGATGTTAAAGTAGCAGTGTTTTAAAGAAGCTAAGTAGAGCCTATGTCTAAATTAAATATAGTTCCAGGACTCGTTTAACCACGCGTCGACAGTCTCGAAAATTACTGGCGCGGATCCGGATAATTGACGTAATCACATAATACACAATCTTTTGAAGGGTTTAAAAATGTTCCTTAATTTATTGTATTTTAACATGTTTTACTCTATAGCCTGTTTTCCACTTGCGGATTTATTCGCGCGAGTTGAAAGCGTCGGTTCATGCGCATGCGCATTCACATTGCTATTCAGCGAAATCAGTAGTTCGTTTCTAGTTTTTGCGAAGCGAAAAAAAGTGCGCAACCAATCAGAGCTCAGGAACTGAACCGAAGCCTTCGATTCGCGCGAATAAATTCGCCTAGTTGAAAAAAGACATCCTAATTTTCTCGCCTTCTTTCTTGGTGGTGTCGTTTTCGCTTACTCTACCTCTAAAACGCTCAGAGATTTAACAACCAAATGTGGTTTTCCTCGCAAAGCCGATGCTCGTGTGATTGTGAGTTTCCTCAGGTCCAATGACGCTGCAATTCTTAAACTGCAGTGGTGGCCCTTTCTGGTTTTTTTTCCCCTTCTGTTTTATTTCTACACCTTCGGAGTCCTTAGGAGAACCAGAACCACCGGAATCATGGGCCGTTGCGCTTGCGACGTCCCCACAAATCCCTAGGGAAAATCCTTGCGCCACCACTGCATGGCAAGAAACAATAAATGAAACAGTAGAAAACACGATCAGAAACACATCGGAAATACAATTTAAAAAAAATGGTAGGAAACATGAAAGGAATATTGATCTGAGACATTTTATTGAATTGAAGGAGGAAACAAGTTTGTCATGCACGGTTGTTCCTGTGACTGGACGTATGAGGTTGCAGGTATTACTTATTCATACGGGCTTGAACTACGAGATAACGGTGTATATCGATTCTTTCTACCGGAAGATCAAATTGAGCCGACTGGAATAGAAACATTTGAAGGAATTAAAGAAATTGCCAAACATTTAATCAGGTAGGCTATAACATGGAAATGTACTGGTACTTCGTTTATTTTCCTATTCTCAGAGAGTATTCTCTTGTTGAATATTATTATTATGTTGAGAAAACGAAAGCTTAACACAAAGACAAATATGCAATAATTGACTAGAGACAAGAATGAAGGATTGAATAAGGAATGAACGAAAGAATGAATGAATGAATTGATTAATTTTTTCCCGTATATGCTTATGTGTTTGTGCGTGTGACGTGTATATTATGTATGTATATGTGTGTATGTATGTGTGTGTGGGTGGGGGGTGTATATATTTATATGTATTTGCTACATTTTGTCTTGTTTTCCTCCGTAGTCTTGATCGTAACGCGGCGACCTGTAGTCTACCGTCTCTTCCGATTTGGATGTTGACCCGCCTGTGCTTTATGGCATTCTGTGCTGTCGTCTGCTGCAGAGCATAACATAACATTCAAGGGAAGCAAGATATCGTTATATTAATTACAAACACAGACGTTGTTTGGCACCGTACGACTATTATTATTATTTTTTCTCAATATTTTACGGCACCTGTTAGCTTATTAGCACGGTATATAAGATCTTGCCTGCCTAATTCTTGTCTCAGTTGCTGATGTGTCGTTGATACGACGAAATATTCAACACTACTCTTGTGGATTAGCATCACTCTTAAGGTCACATACGTATTCTCTTTTATTATGAGAGTGCAAAATCAAGCTACCGTATATTTATTTAACTTATATTAATCAATCAGCATACTATTTCTGAAGCTTCTCATCGGAGCTATTAACAATACAATAATTGGCCCTAACGGCCGCCCACACAAAAAGATCTATTAATCAATCAACCAAGTGTTTCTAGAGCTTCTCATCGGAGCTTGATAATGATAATGATAAAGATAATTGGCCCTAGCCACCACCCATACAAAAAAAGATATATTTTGCAATCAGCACAAAAAAGACCTATTAATCAATCATCTGGGCATGGACCTATTAACTGGGTATTTCTAGATACATGGAGCTAAAAACTCCCTGCTATCGAAAACTTTAAGATTGTTCATATTAATACAAAGTCTCGTTTCAGTGGACACTATAATCTAAATTCAATTCAAGTACTAAATGATATTTGATCTCGCCTACAACATCGGAACCTAATCTTACTCCCTGTTAATAATACCAATTCCTGTACCGTAGGCCTACATATTTGAATTTCGTCTTCATACCCGTGACTGTTAAGTTTATGTACCTCCTTTTGTTATATATATACCATCTCATCGGCGCGGATGACAAAAATAAAATTATGAATTACGGATGTTTGATGATATAACAGTGAATAAATATATAAATATAACATTTTCTATGAATTTTTCATAAAATGTTTGAACGAATTTAGAAGATTACGGTAGTTATTTGCTTATTATTAGCTAGAGGCCAAGTTAGTTGGCCTATGCATACGTGTTTGTTTAACTTATAGTTTGTTGTCATCATATACAGTAATAAGTTGTTATTAACTCCATAGGTATACTATATATATTATTATTGTGTGTATGAATTTGTATGTTTATAATAATAAAATTGTTTACTCTAAAATGTGAATAAGAGAGCCTGTTATAACAGTTTTTCTTTTTATTATTTAATATAAAATAAGTGTTGATCGTGCCAGTGAGAAATAATGGACAGTAAACTCCGACTATACAGGCGTAATTATAGCGTTTGAAGCCTGTTGACACCTACTTTTGACGCCTGTTGACGTTAATTAGTACAGTATGATATGTGTGTACGTAGACACGCCACAAGTGATTTTTCGTATTTATTTATTTGTGACACTTCACCTTTGTATCGGTGGCACTCATAGTCAGTGGTGTGGTCTTACAAAATACACAAAAGAATAAGGAGAAAATAATCTTAACATTAACAATCAATACTTAACTAAAACAGCACCCAAAACTCCAATGGAACAGTTTTAACAAAATAAGCAAAAGGAAACCAAAAGGAAAAGAAATTTTTTTCAAAAAAATCCAGATAAAAAAGAAACTGAAAACAACATTTTATTGGTGAATATAAACAGTGTATAGTAATGGAAAGATGTGTATAAGAGACAGGTTCCATGCAATGCAGACCGAATATATCTTTTACAAAAATTATCAATCACTTTGGCAGAGTGGTCACAAATGGGAACAGAATCTCCACCAAGAATGAGTTTACCATTATGTGTTCGAAGATACAAAAAGTATAGCAACATTTTGGAGTGCGCCATCAGCGTCGGTTTTTGATGAGATACTTTTTGACCATTTTTTGACCGAGTGTGCGCCCTCAGCAGAAGCTCACGAAATTTGAAAAAAAACATGGAGAAAGTATCAAAGCGTAAACAAAGTAGGTTTGGATGTTCATCTAAGTTGTAGACAAAAAATGGCCTAGGAGGCCTAGGCCTAGTAGTGTAGTGCGATGTGTATAGATAATATTTCGGTCTAGTCTATTTCACTACAGATATATTTTTTGACGGGTAAAAATGGTGATTTCTATCTGTTCTAGAAGCTAGGCCTAGGCCTAGCCTACTATTAATTAGGCAGGGCCTAGGACTCGGAGGCCTAGCCATAGATAGCCTACCGTATATAAAATACTAAAATACTAATAATATAGGCCCTCAGGACTCTTTTGGACATCCGTAGCTACACACTTACATTTAGGATTGATGGGACTTAGACTAGGCCCAGTGGTGTACTTTTTGAATCTTAACCGAGCCTCTCCTTGTCTACTCTATAATAGAGTAGTTTTAGCAGCTACTCTACATACGAATCGGTAGACGTATTGAAGTGGTGACAAACATTCGGAATCAGCAGTGCGTAACCAACAGAAATAAGATAAGCTTTTTGGCTGATTTTCTGACATCATGTTATTTAAAAAATCATAACTCCATAACGGGGCGTCATATCCAAAAAATTTCCAGCAAATATTTTAATACACTACTGAGATAGGCTTTTCTTTTTAATTCTTGATTTCAGAGGTCAAAACAATTTTTCAATTTTTTTTTCAATCATATAGTGGTGTAGAATAGTCTTTTAAGAACATTTTGCTGGAAAAAGTTTTTTGGATACGGCACTCCGTTATGGAGTTATGATTTTTTAAATAACATGATGTCAGAAAATCAGCCCAAAAGCTTATCTTATTTCTGTTGGTTACGCACCGCTGATTTGAAATGTTTGTCATCACTTCATGATGTCTACCGATTCGTGAAAAAGGCCTATACATGTATGCAGACCTAAAATCTAGACCGTCCTATCCTAGGGCCTAGGCCCTAGTTTTTTTTAGGCCTACTTGGAGTCTGGCCTAGGTAGCTTGCCACTAGTCTCACCACTTCTTTGGAAGAAGTCAATTCCAGGAGATTTGGTTAATGAGCCTTTTAAAAAATTTTATTTCATTTTTAGCCTTGGCTAGAGAGATACGGTAGCGTATCTTAACTTCCGTTTGCTAAAGGTAGGATGTGACTATCGGCCGTTCGTTGATAGCACGATATCATGGCACCACGTTCATATTCTGCTAGCAACTCAACTGTCTGCATAGCCCTCTATTGTTTTGGCTACAGAGGTCATATTTATTTTTTCCCTATGAGCCGAAAATACTGATGACGTAGTACACATTTTCCTTTTTGACCTTGTCCAAACCAATTTTGCCGACTTCGCGAAGTGATTGAATTTATTGTTGAAAGTTTTGGTTGCATGCAATTATTTCAGAGAAGATAAGTTTATTTTGTTCTGAAACCAGTTTATTTTGTTAGGTTATATATTCATCCACAACTGGGTGTAATATTTAGTTAATCTGAACACCGAAACCTTGGTTTTGACTGAAAATAAAATTTGTTTGTGAATGGAAATTCCCCAAATCTATCTGTTTGTGTGGTGCAGGCTGACGTCATGCATGTCTGCAATAATGAGGATTAAAAAAAATATCAATTCAACCAAACAAAATGTAACTGCTAATATTTTAAATCAAACTCATTGTTACGTCAACGTCGACCAAAGGGGAAATAGATTAAGATGTTAGTGCGAGTATGGTACGACTGGAACATTCAATGTAAATAAAGGTACAAGATTACAGGTACAATGAAATATATACTTTAAAATTATTTTGTACAAAAACACAGGCTATCCAAAACAAGTCTACGATATTAGACCCTATATTGAAAAAAATGTAAGTTTTTCAGAAATTTGGCCAAATATAGTTTGGTCATGACATTTCAAACGTTACGGCCTAGCGAACATTTGAGGAGTCTGGCCATCAAAACTAGCAAATGGCAACACTGTCGCTTAAAAAGCTCGGCAGGAAAGCAAGCTCGCAGATCCATGCTTACACAGCAAGCGATTTTTGAGTTTTTCCATCCAGCCAAATTTGATCAAGCAGTGATAGAAACTCTACCAAGAGAAAAATTTACTAATCCTTAAAGTTATGTTCAAATCTACAGCAAGTTGGAGGAGAATATTAATTCAAAAACAGCCAAATTGGATCTAACAACATAATTTCATTCATGTTAAGCCAAGAAATTATTACTTACCAGTAACTTTCAGTCTGCATTCTCGGACCTTCCTCAGCTGAATGACAAGTAACAATGTTTGGTTATTGTGTCTAAACAATTCCACCTACTGTACCAGTTAGTTTGTTTAGATTTCTTAGCTTACCTACAGTGTTGGTGAATAATTTGTTGTAAAATGTTTCCCATGTGAATCGAAAACTATGGTCTACAATATTAACACTGTATGTATGGTATATATTTAATTTTTAAAATATTCAATCAAATGTTTTTGTTTTTTTTTAATTACTGTAATCCAATTGTTCTCTCTTCTGTCAACATGTTTTACAATATTTAATTAATTTATGAATGAAAAATTGTATTTTAATACCAACTAATTATTCCAGATTATTTCCGTAATAGCTTTTGTAAATTATGTTCTTGACAAACTGAAGTCTCGGCTGGATGCCACTGTAGCACCTAGCAATTATAAGCAATGTGCGTATACATACGAAACAAACAGTGCCGAGGAAAACCTACGGAATGACCAACAACACAAGGATGGTGAAACTACCTCTGGAATAATACCAATAAACAAAAAGAAAAAGAAGACACCTGCAAAGGATTCAGGGAGATTATACCAAGCAAGCCTACCCATTGAGGGGTTAGAGGTCACAAGGCAGGACTCGGCTTCTTGTACAAGTGATTCTACAGACAGCAGTATGTATCGTCAGTGTTGTTTCTAAAATAGGCCCTATATTGAATACATTTTTATTCCTGGTAAGATAACAATAAAATTTTGTTTTCTGATTTAGCAAATAGTTTTTTCCAAAAAAATCCAGATAAAAAAGAAACTGAAAACAACATTTTATTGGTGAATATAAACAGTGTATAGTAATGGAATGGTTAAATGTTTAAAATTTATATAATTAGGGAGAAATACAAACCTTATTTTTGGCGATTTCAAGGCAGGGCGTGATAAAAATAAAGAAAAACTTTTATTTTTTTCTGAAAGTTCCATTTTCTTGTGGCGTTTGTGTGCTAATTGGCCAAAAATAAATTTTTATTTTCATTCAAAATCATCATAAAAAATTTCGCCTAAGTAGTATGAATTTTTAAGCTTTTTCAAAGTTGAATTAATATTTAGTTTTGTATTTTACTGTAAAACATGATTTTTAAAAATCCACATAACTGGTTTTTTTTTTCTTTGTTTACTTCATCTTGCATTTATTTCTCAGATGAATTTAAAAAGCGAAAAAGGAAAAGAAAAAGGAGACGCAGAACTAAGAAGATAATAGATGAAGACAACAGGACGTGTACAGGTGAAAATGTTGTGGTTCCAACAGAGATGAAAGTGCCAATGATAGCTCAACCAGGGACAGAAGGAGAAGTGGAACACAAACTCTCTAAGAAATTGCTAAGAAAAGAAGCTAAGATAGCATCGATTCGAGCTGGTTTGAAAAACGAGGCCCACTCCCTTGCAAAAGTTTGGAATAATTTCTTCGAGGCAAGATTTACATTGGTGACAGAGACGGAAAATGTTGAGGATATCTTACCGGAATCGTGTAATCGAATTCTTATAAATACAGGTAATGTCTTTTGACATGATTGCATGGTACTGTGTATAAAATGATATTGGACTTTTCAGTGAAAAGTGGTGAATGTGAATGATCAAATAACCTTAAGTCTCGTCCAGACTATCAAATCATGTGATACCTGTAATATGCCCAAATATGGTCATGATGACATCACATTATAACCATATATAGGCACATTATTACTATACATGGGCCTATATATTGAAGAAAATTTGATAGTCTGGATGGAGCTTTAAGGAATCGTCTGGCCACTTCGCAGGGATGAGAAGGGGCTTGTTTGTACATGTTTACTTAAGTGTATCAAGTGATTAGTATAATAGTACATGCCCTCTCTTCTAAACCCACCAGGGCATAGGAGATGTTATATTGCAGTGATTCACAGACATTGCGTACTATACTAAAGTCTCCCCTCAAGGAGCAGAATAAGATTTTCTACGCTACATGCATGATTGCTGGTGTATCAAATATCCCTAATGGACTCAATGTAGAAGATTGACTGTCCGCAATTGCTGAATATATTGACTTAGATAATGATACAGTGCACTGTCTAGAGTTATTTAGTTACTCTTAAGTTTAGGTGTTTTTGCTTTCAGTTACGAAGCCCATGTCTTTAGTTTGCCGGAGACTTTCTTATAAATCCCTAAGGGATTTCCTTTTACCTGACCGTGGTCTGGCATGACTCTTGTTTTTAATCAGAAATTGTAAAACCCTAGGGCCACCGCTAATCACAAAGTCCATGGTTCAATGACAATGACTAAAAGCCTCTGTGCTGTTTACAGGCATTATAATATCTTCAGGTTTTTTTTTTATCTGGAGTACTTGTTTAGTAGCAGGCTATACTAGCAGCCCACTATCTATAAATTAGAAGAATGTATGATAGTCATGAGAGAATTATTGGAGTTTGACAGATTTTTTAACCAAGGACCTTGGATAAAAAGAGATGGCTATATATATAATTATATATTTGTCTGAACTTATAAGGCCAGACATAATTTTCTATGAATACTTTACTGCTGAAGACATAAGATGATAGTTAGGGCTAAAAACTATAAGATCAGGCGACTGACTGTCAAATGTATCGCACATTTTCCCGAAAGACATACTAACTAAAAAATTTTTTTTTAAACAACCACTGTAGGGATAGATATTACAGTGTACAGATAATATTTGTTGTTGGAGGCTTTTTATAATAATGATCATTTTCATGGTCGGAAGTACAGACATGCTTGATGATATAAAAGCATATAACAAATATATAAAAGTATATAAAAGGTATATAAAAATATATGAAATATATATATATAAAAGTATATAAATATATATAAAAGTGTATACAAGTATATAAAAAGTATATAAAAATTATATACAAAGTATATACAAGTATATAAAAAGTATACAAAAGTACATAGATATATAATACAATACAGATACTTTACATGAATCGATTGGAATTGGCTATACAGTATGTATTAATGACATGTACTCTGTGTCACCAAGGATAAGGTCACTTCAGGGGCAACCTCGGTGTACTGGAATGGACAATTCTATTACGTCACTTTAGGAACAATGACAATTTATATATATATTTTTTTTTTGCAGGATGTAATGATGATAATTATGATACCTTGAAAGAAAATGAACTACTTTCTGCAGATGATTTAGGCAGTAAATCTAACATATCACCCTCTTCATTTGACATGCAACATGAGAAATCACGGATATTGGCAACTTCGTTTGAAGAACGATATGAGGAGCTTGAGAAATCAGAAGGCAGTGAAGAGGATGGATCAACAAATGACAACAAGAGCAAACAAAGTAAACCTAATGGAAAAGATAACACTGTCAAATTATCTAAAAATCAAAAACGTAGGAGAAAAAAGAAAAGAAGGCAATTTTACTTGAGAAAAGAAGAAGCAGAAAGGAAAGCTACGGCAAAGAAAAAAGAGGAGGAACAAAGTGCAGAAAATTTTGCCAAATTGAAAGAGGAGGTGGTTGCATTTTTCGACTCCTTGTGGGATATTTTTTTGCAAGAAAAGAAAGGTTAGGATAAAAAGTTGATATTTATTTGTTCAGTGATGGGTTTAGGGGTAAATAGGGTGGCTAGCCCTGGCTAGCCATCCCCACCCATACTCCATCTGTGGATCGAGTGTAGTGCAAGCCCTCTGATGTAGTAGTCTTAGTATTATGGCTGCCGAACACCAGTTATGGGCCTGCTTCTCAAATTAGGCATCATTACTCAATTCTTGCTACCTCTAGTCATTACCACTTGACATCTTACTACTGTATATATATTTTGTAGCTTTAATGGGCTTGAGATTGTAATTAATGTTTATTAATATTAATAAATATTTATACTTCAATTTAAATTTGTTATTATTGTTTATTGAATTTTTGAACGAATGATTAAGGAGTTTTTATGTAGTTATCGTATAGAAAAATATGAACTTTGAAGTGAGTTTTAATAATAGTTGTTACTCTTGTCCCCCGAGCATTTCTACTCTTTTTTTTTTATTATGAAATTAAGGAGGGATTTCTTTTGTGTTTGTATTTGTAAGTAATTTGGATGTTTTGTACATCTGTAAGGATTTGTCTAATGACAAACTTTCAGATACATTTTTTAAAATTATTTTTTTCATATGAAATATGTGTAAGAATAACTGACATACAATGTTTCACTTGATTTTATAGAAAGTTTAAACCATGTGGATTTGGAGGGATTGCGTCTGAAATTACTGCATTTCTTTGAGCATTTGCAGAACCTTGAGCAGGGTAACTCATGCATGTTTGATATGTTGGTGTCTATTAAAAAGTGGCTTCTGTTGCTCGATAACAACCGAGCGAAGGCAGTATTGGAAAATTATCAGCTATCTGATGCTTTGCAAGGTAAAATGGAAACATAATAATCTTGATAATATATTCTATTTGATTATGCATTTGCTTATTTCTTATATTGTAGACTTAGTTTAGTATGCTTCAAGCTACTGTTTTTACAGAGTATTACCAGAAGGTATATTTCCTGTGGATTATTACTATGTAAACAAATTTTCTTTTAGCTGTTCACACGCATGCTGCAAACTTTACTGAACCTTAATAAAAAATCAGTGTTCAATCTGGGATAGGAAAATTATGTAGAGGGTAAAATGGTGGTGTCACGATTGACATTTGATAATAATTATTATATATTATCATTAGTGTCAAAATTAAATTTTTATAATACTTAAAATTGTAGTTGTTTAAAGTCTCTTTTCTCTCTTTTCTTTTCGATGTGAGGTAAATTTTGTTCAAGGTGCGATGTAGATAGATGTATTTGACACCTGTTTATCCCTCCCTTTCCGTTGTTTTTTATGTCTTGTTTTTTTTTTTATGTTTGTTCTCTGTGCAGTGATGAAACTTAATAAATAAAAATAAATAAATAATTAGTTTGAGAAATATACTGAAATGAAATTGTTAATTGACATTGATTAAATTACATCCAAGGATTGTTTTATATTTTTTTTTCACAGATCATAAAATGGTTATCAAGTGCCTTGTGGAATATTGGATAACTGATATAGCGCCCTCTCTTGATGTGAATTCTGCATCCTGAGCATCAAGGCTGTTATACTAGGCCCCCTATTACAGTATGCACAAATTGAAATAAACCAATTTATAAATAAGACATAAGACCTAAATTTTAATGCAACAATGTCAAACATTCATAACATTTTATACAAATTCTAACATGTTGCGCATTAGAGGTATAAAACCACTTACCTGTAATTGTCATAATCTTAACAAATTTTAAATTTACAGTGCTTTTTACATGCTGCCATCCAATATTAAGTAGTGAGTTAATACTTGACAATAGATAATCTTTAACTGTAATGAGCTAAAAAAAAAAAAATTAATAAAAAATAGAATTTAGAATTTGAATTTATTTTTTTTAAAGTTATTGGCTTTCAATTGAAAAAATAAGCTCCTGATATTAGCATTAGTATACTGCAGAAACCAGGTCAGAATTACTCGAAAGTCCATAATATCGTACAAAGTGATATCAGCCATTGTTCATCTGTCAATGCACAGTACTTGGCATGCCTGTTAAATGAAATGAGCTGATTGAAACCTTAACACATTCCATTTTACATGAAAATTCCACTTTCACAGCATAGAGTATATCTGCACAAGAGCAGTATACTAAAAATTAGAGCTTGTTACTATTTTTCATGCCGTTTAAGAAGCCCATAATGTTACGATTTCTGTTCTCCTTTGCATAAAATTAGCTTGAAGTCATGGATATTTGTAGTAAATGTGTATCAGTCACCAAAAACTAAAGTTAGTTCAAAATGTGTCTTGTTGGATTAATGATGAGATACTTTTAAATAAGTAATTTAATTTGATAAATTAAATTAAGGTTTTCCCAATTTTAATACAAGCTATTATGGAATGCAATTGTCACCAAAAATGCATGATCGACAAAAATGTTATTGGTTTACTCTACCGTATTACTAATTAAAGCCTTTTAAATAAGTACTTTGATAAATTCAATTAAGATTTTTGCCAAATTTCTTTTCAGTCAAATATGGAAGGCAATCGTTGCCAAAAATACAATATTAACAACTTTTTATTTGTTGTTTTCTTTAAATTTCCAAATATTTATTCAGGATAACATATTCAATATAATATAAGGTACTGACTATTTACAAAAGTTTGATTATTATATACATCTGGACGACAGAAAAAGAAAGCTTTAGTATATTTGGTGGCGATTATCTTCCATACAGTAATTTATTTATTTGATTTTACTGTATTAAAATGCAGCCCTCAGCATAGAATATACAATAGAAGCAATTTTGAGGAAGTCAAGTGAAAGTGCACCACCTTCTTAATGGAATCGTTCGGTTACGTTTATATTTTAGCTTTTCCTTATAAATCGTATATCTGGAATTACAATTGAGTTGTAAAAATGTCATTTTAATGTAAAATTATGATACAACACCTGTTTTGTTCTTATTGCTTTAATGTAAAATTTTATGATTTTGAATTATCCTTCTATAATGAGATAATTATAGAGAATAATTATCATGTTCATATACATTCAATATTTTTGGCAGTTTTTTTTAGTTTGTTTATAATAATTTGCTAATACAGTATTTGTAAACAAAGACCTTATAAAAAAAAATTGCAAAATCTTATCTTTTTTAGGTCAATACACAATAAGCTCCAATTGAGTGTTTTATGGTGAATTGTCAATCCAATGAGAATCTTACTCTAATATAAGTTAAAACCCTCACTCTTCGAATGATTCGTTCATGTTGGTCATGTTGCATTTGAAGTTTTATTATTGTGAACATCGCTTTACTGTAAAACAACCAGTTTTGATAAATAAATTATTAGAGTAAAGTTGAAGAATCGCATTTTTGTCTGAATGATGGTATTTAGAGAGGGTAGCCACAAACAATAATACTTTGGAAAGTACAACAGATAGTAGAGGGTACGTTGGTGACGTCACGCATGTAGTTGCATTAACAAAGATTGTATTATATCTTCCCATAACCTTTAAGAAATGTGTCTTTTTAAATAAGATAATCTGCAGAAACAAGTTTTGGTTTCTGCGACTGAAAGTAATCTTCAGGAAGATTGAAAACAATACTCCATATTCCCTCCCAATACCATATTTCTTCTTTATAGATTGAAAATATTTTAGGAATTGTAGGCCTATATATCCTATTTCCTTACAGGTTTATTTTATAATTTTTGTATAATCGTTCTGTCAGTGATTTTATCAATTTTTCTACTGACGTGGTGCTAATTATTTACCACATGGGTCAGACATTTGCAATTCTGTGATCAGGAAATTGCAAATCCAGTTTAATGTCTTTATGCGCTATTAACCGAACTGTCAACGGAAGGTCCGAGCTGTCATCGCTTCACTTTTGACGATGCCTCTTGCCAAGAGGTAAAACATATCAAATCCGTAAAGGAGAAATGAAAATTTGCTTTCAAAAAATTGACAACTGGATATTAACCAAAAAGAATATTGAGAAATACACTGTACAGATTTTGTTATCAAGTAAGCAAACAAAATTCGAAACGTCTCTAAAATGTCTATTCTCGACCAATCCACAACCTTTCTAAAGCCGGGCGTCATACGACCGTCGGCCGACGAATCCATCCAACTCCGCTCCCTGTGAGCGTTAGACGACGCGACACCGTCTACTGATTGTCGGTGGCAGTGTGAACCGATCGTCATTAAAAACGATCTGTTGCACGACCGTCGCGTCGGATGCATTGAGTGCCCAACTTAAGCCTGAATACTGTTAAAAAAAATTTATCACGAATCTTGCTATTTGATTGATTTGACTTTTTTTAAATGTATTTTTCTGATTATTGCTGATTGTCTTGCTTTTCCTGCGTTATTTCATTTGCTGGGGAAACACTGTGGATTCTAGGCAATTTTATTTCAATTCTATACATTAAGAATACGTTTCATCAACTAAGATTTGAGACAATCTACTGTTAACTTAACCTCGTGAAGTTCGCTTTGATTTCCGCTGTTCATACATTCTCCGTTCTGACAACCAGACTCCAATTGGACATTTTAAAGCTAGTACACTGCGAACCCACAACGCCATTTAAGAATACGCACACTATACAAATCACCTACCCGAACTCATTAAGGTATTTCCCGTCACGTTCGCTAGCAACGACAATAAGTTTTTAATGTACAATACAATATAATTGTAAATTTTCGAATTCGCTGTTTTAAATGAAATATAGGCCTAGTGATCTAAGAACATTTTTATTCAAGTACCTTGGCATAAATTTAAGCTGCGACTTTGCTTTATGTTTTATGTCTCGTCTCGTTCACATTAGGTTCTAAATGGATTTGATTTTATTTAAAATCTGTTATTTTTTGTTAATTATCTATGTTTATTTCTCAGTTGTAGGATTTTGTTGGTGTTTTTTAAAAGTTTTTTTTTAGTCTGAATTATTCGTTATTGATAATTTTAATTTACGCGGATAAATCTCAGATAATAGGGAGTTTCTACAAGCTTACTAAAACGATAACGAATACGGATACGTAATCAAATTTTTAGAAATCCCTTCCCCTAAACAGTACCATATCTGTCACAGCGTAGGGTATTCATGCCTTTTGCATGAATCAATCATATTCAGCTCGTACGCCATATTGTCAATAATGTTTTAGGCAGGAATGACGATAATAATAATAATAAAGTATTCGTTATCGTTTTTGTAAGGATGCGAAATCTCCCTAATATTAGTTTTACTGTTACTTCTAATGATTATAATAACAAACTCTACCAGAAAATAACAATATTGTGTCGCATAAAAACATAATGAATATGCCTTTATTGGCTTCACGTAGATCGCATACTCAGCCTTTTGGGAAGTATTTACTAATTTTGTTATCGGCTAATTAGCAATCGAACCTACCACGTAGTATCTTAATTGCTCAATAAAGTGTGAACCTTAGGTTTGAACCCTGACCCTTTGATTGAAATGTGTCATTAGAGCTTTACCATTGTATCACATAATACCTACTAATTATTTTCTATTATAATATAACTTTTTGATTGAGTAATGACAACATGATTCTAAGACAGATTTAAAAGGTCGCCGTTACATAACATAGGCCTAGATTTTTATATCAAATCAAAGTCTTCACATGGACAGATGGTTAGCGTGACGTCATTACGTCCAAAATCTTAACGCCGTCTCAAATCTAATGCTCTCTATTTTGACGATGATCTACGTCCTATATTCTTCTTTAACACTCGCGTGTGATTTGGCTTCAAATAGTTTGAGCCACCTGCGGTGAACAGTGTATGACGTATTTTAATATCGCTAGTAAAACCTTTTCGTTTTTGTTAACCAATATTGAGGTCACTTGTTCGAACTAGTTTACATATGTGTGGCTGTCTAGTTAAATTTGTTGTAGGCGAATTGCTTTTGACAATAGTGGTCTTTTTGTATCATGTAAAGCTGTCGATCAGGCCATTTTGAGTTGATGTTGTATAATATCTGACAGTAATTGAAAACGAACGATCCCTAACATTCGTTTGTTTTGGAAATAAAACTTGTAACTTTGCGCAGCCTTAGTAATAACGCGCAATGTGATACTATAGTTTTCACAACAATGTACAACCTTAGTAACGAAATGTGACATAAGCACACGCAATAATAGAGAAAGTGGACGAAGTGAACTGAATGAAAACTGACTTGCATCACACGGAATGAAATGCTACGATAAAGATCCATCAAAGACTGGTGATATTACTGTTTCTTTCTGTTAGTTTCTTAAAATCTTAATTTGAGAGATAATATCAACGAAGTGGGATGAATTGATGTTTTTTTTTTCCGGCTGGTCTCCATCTTTAAAAGATTATTTCAATGAATTTAAGAAATTATGTTTTCATTTGTTGTAAACTTAAAACATAATCTTTTTTCTATAGCTACTAATTATTTTGAATTTCAAAATGTGAATTTTTATCTTTTCATAACTAAGATTTCAAAATGGCATTATTTAAAAAATGTATTTATATAACGCGAATTGTAGACACCTACAGCAATAATAATAATAATAGTAATTATTATTATTATTATTAAATCATTAAATTTAGTACCGCCTAAGCTTTGTTTGTTGATTGACCAATTAAGTTTCAGCAACTCTCTGATCTGATTGAGTATCTCTGATGTAGGCCTATATCAGAGATAATCTCTGATGTATATCGCTTATGCTGATGAAGTCCACAGTCTATTCGTGTTTAAGTTATGTTCCTAAAATACGTCAAATATACATAGTTGTAGTTTGTGTAGGCGATGACAATGACAAAATCAAAAGTAAATTTAACGTATTTTAGGAACATAACTTATTCTTAAATAACCTAAAATGTGTAAATTCTGGACTAATAACTGGTGCATACGGCATTCTAGAATGTCCTCACATGTGGAAAGTTTGGACTTATCTTCACAGGTCAGGTTCTGGATTAGGCTTCAGTGTGCAGATTCTTGAATAACCTCAACCTTGCAAAATCTGGACTAATTTTCACAGGACAAGTTCTGGATTAGGCTTCAGTGTGCAGAGTCTTAAATAGGCTCACTGTGCAAAGTCTGCACTAACCCCACTGGACAAGTTCTGAATTCTTGAATAGCCTCACATGTGCAAAGTCTGGACTAATCTTCACTCGACAGATGACGAATAATCTCAACTGTGCACAATCTTGACTTTGCAAATTCTACACTAATATACATTAATCACTTTTTTTTTCAATAATTGTTTACATGTAGAATCTCGATTAGGCTTCACTGAACAGATTCTTGACTGGTTTCATTGTGTAGACTTTAGGTTAACCTTCATCTATTAAGTGTGGATGGGACAATCACCATACAAAATTCTGGACTAGGTTTTATTGTGTGGACTGTAAGATCCTTCTGTCGGCAATGTAGAGATTCTGATCTGAGATTCACTATAACAGATAAATAACCAACTATTTCCAAGTGTAATCACGTTTTCAGATCAGCTCTGTCCACACTCTAATGATATATGTGACACATATGTGTAAATTACCAAATATGGAAAAGATGATGTCATATATCACAACCATATAAAGGCATGATAATGTCGTTTGGCAAACCTCAGGTATTTGTCACATCAATTTTGAAAGTATGGATAAACCTTTAGTTCCATAGTGTGATTAATTGTCCTTTTTCTAATGCTGATGAAAATTTAAACAATGGTGACTATAAAAAAAAAACATTGCTTCAAGCACTTAGGGTTTAATAAAAACGAAACTTGAATATATAGTGCAGATAAATCTTGGTTGTGGTTATTAAGATGAATAGATATTTTAAAGATGAATTGAAACCACATAATTAAACTATTTATTTGATTACAGCGTACATTTGAAATATAAATGTCCGTGTTATTCGACCTTGACTTGTGTATTCATATTTTGTCCGTGGTTTACAAGCTTCAGACAGCTCGCAATTATCGTCGCAACGTTCGTTCTTAATTCATTGTGAAAATGTTCACGAGTGTAGCCTAGTCTTAGTACGCGGGCTTAATTACGGGACTCTTCCAAGCAAAACAGCTGCTTAAACCATTATTAACGCAAACATACGGTAACTGTATCAATTACCAGTTAAAGCCATATCGTATTATGGGCCTACATGTAAATTATATTTGTTATAATTTGTATTGCTCAAAATATATACGCCTAATACCGATATGTACTTGTATCGGTGGTGATTTGGTACTAAATTCATCATACATTATGCAACAATTCTTCTGCTGTCAGGAGTATATTTCTTGTCGTGCGGCCTATTTTAAATCCTTTCACATTTCATTCAATCTTACCAGATCCTTAAATACCTCTTGGTAGAGA